CCATGGGCTGTGCTGAGCTAAATGAGGATCATGTAGGGTTTGGTGGAACCTTCCAGGGCATGTCCCTGCCCTCCAGCTTCTGAGGGACATCAACGCATAACAGGTCTCTGAGGGCTATCCCTTTGCCCCTTCAGTTGTCTGTTTCCCCAGCGGGAATGTTCTGCCCAGCCAGGCTGTGGGAGTCAGTCTGAAATGCTGCCCATCTTGGAGAGGGGGTTTAGGTGACTGTGGGGCCAACATGCAAAAAGGAGCTAGCCGTTATTGAGCACCTGCTGTGTGCCAGGCACTATGTCCATCTCACAGAATCTTCAGAGTATCCCTGTGAGGTGTTATTAAAATCTCCCCATCTCATGGGCTTGAAAAACTTTCTAGAGCCAGCCTTCATGGCCTAATGGTTAAAGTTGGGTGCTCTCACTGCTTCGGCAGCCCAGGTTTGCTGCCTGGTTGCTGAACCACACCACCCGTCTGTCACTTGCCATGCTGTGGCTGCGGCTCACATAGAAGAACTAGAAGGACTTACAACTAGGATATACAGCCATGCACTGGGGCTTTGGGAGAGGAAAACAAACAAACAAAAACTTTTCTATTGCGAAAATTTTCAAAAATGTCTCCTGATCCCCCGTCATGCATTGTCCCACTTCAACATTTAACCACTCTTGAACAATCTTGTTTCATCCATACCTCCAACCACTTCCCTCTCTCCTGAATTATTTTTAAGCAAATCTCAGACATAATTTTGTCTGTATTTCAGTATGTGTATCTAAAAGATAAAGATTAGTTTTTAAAAATAATCACAATACCATTATCTCATGTAGAAAATTAAACAATAGTTTGCTTATGGATTTTCAATAAATGGTATTGGGACATCTAGATAGTCATTTGGAAAGATATCAAAGTAGATCCATACCTCACACCATACATAAGAATAAACTCCAAGCAGATCAGAGATCTAAATGTGAAAAAATAACCGTACACGTCCTAAAAGAAAACAAGGATCTGTGTGTGGGGGAAGGCTTTCTTTTTAAAAACAACCTGTGCCTCAAATGGGGCCAGCCTGGTGGCGTAGTGGTTAAGTTCTTGCGCTCTGCTTTGGTGGCCCAGGGTTCGCAGGTTCAGGTCCCGGGCACAGACCTACGCACCGCTCATCAAGCCATGCTGTGGTGGCATCCCATATATAAAATAGAGGAAGATGGGCACAGATGTTAGTGCAGGGCTAATCTTCCTCAGCAGAAAGAGGAAGATTGGCAACAGATGTTAGCTCAGGGCTGATCTTCCTCACGAAAAAAAACCCCCAAAAAACCCCCACACAAAAAAACTGTGCCTCAAAATTCAGATGCATAAAAGATTAATAAATTTAACTACATTAAATATTTTTTTTTGCATTGACAAAAAAACCACAAGCAGAGTCAAAAGACAAATGACAAACTAGGGGAAAATATTTGCAAGAAATATCACAAAGCACTTCTCTTCTTAACACAGAGAGTATTTAAAAAATGGGAAAAAGAAAAAAACTAAGACCTGTTAGAAAAATTGGCAAAAGACATGAACAGATAGTTTACAGAAAAAGATATACAGATGGCCCTTAAACATATGAGGAGATGCTCAGCTTCACTCAATAAGCAAAATGCAAATTAAGCCCCATTGAGAGATCATTTCTCATCCTTGTGATTGGCAGACATTCAAAGTTTTGATTACACCCTCTGGTGGCAAGGCTTTAGGAAAGTCTCTCATCAATGCTGGTGGGAGGGCAAGCGGCCAGAGCCCCATGGAGGGGAGTTTGTCAATATCTAACAAAACCACATATGTATTTCCTGCTTGACCCAGCAAGACTTCTAGGAATTTCCATGGAAAATGTTCTCCATAGCTACAGAACAGCTGTGCCAGGGTTATTCACTGCACCTTTATTTGCAGTGGTAAAATATTAGAAACAATTTAAATACCCATGGAGACATGTTGAATAAATTGTGGTACTCCAGTTACGCAATGAGTCAAATGCAGTAGCTAAAAAATAATGATAATAAAGGAAGATCTCCCTGTAGCAGCATAAAGTGATTTCCAGGGCATATTGTTAAGTAAAAAACCAAACCAATTAAACAAACAAAAAACCCAGGGTATCAAAGAGTGTATATAGTGTTCTACCTTTTATGTTAGAAAGAAAGGGAAATATTTACTTATTTTTGTGAAAAGAAACAGATGGAATAAGCCAGAACCTAATGAAAATGATTACCTCTAGAATGTGGGTGTGAATGGGGTAGAAAGGATGAGGATGGAAATGAGACTTCTTTTTTTTTTTTTTTTGTGAGGAAGATCAGCCCTGAGCTAACATCCGTGCTAATCCTCCTCTTTTTGCTGAGGAAGACTGGCTCTGAGCTAACATCTATTGCCAATCCTCCTTTTTTTCTTCCCCAAAGCCCCAGTAGATAGTTGTATGTCATAGTTGCACATCCTTCTAGTTTCTGTATGTGGGACGCCGCCTCAGCATGGCCGGAGAAGCGGTGCGTTGGTGCACGCCCAGGATCCGAACCTGGGCCGCCAGTAGTGGAGCACACGCACTTAACCGCTAAGCCATGGGGCCGGCCCTGAAATGAGACTTCTTTGAATTTGCTTTTTATAGAGATATGAAATTTGAACTATGTGAATGTTGTACATATTCAAAAAATAAGATTAAATTAAAAGAATGAAAAAAGCAAACCCTGAAATTAAGTGCAGATAAGTGAATTGATCCATATAGCAAATTGTTAGTATAATCATACAGAAAAAGGAATTAATTCAAGTAACTGTTGCTCACGATATTCTGACTGTATACCCTAAGTAGATAAATGCTAAGGCTGTACTCTTTAATACAGTAGCCACTAGCCACATGTGGCTATTTATTTAAATACTTAAATAAACAAAAATGCTGATATACAACTAAAAATCCAGTTCCTCAGTCATCCTAGTCACATTTCTCAGTAGCCACATGTGGCTAGTGGCGACCATATTAGCACAGAAAAAGAACATTTCCATTAACGCTGTAAGTTCTTTTAGACAGCACTCTCCTGAAGACAGAAAGAACTGCAGGTAAATGTTGATTTTTACTTAGTAGGTTTGTGATAGGTAGTAGCAATGGTTTTGCAATTCTGAAACTTTTTCGAATATTGATGGACAGAACAAATAAGTAAGTATATTAATGTTACTGGGAAATAAGTTCTCACTGAAGGAGAAGGGAGACACAAATATGGAATGGGAGAAAATGAGGAAAATCCTGTAGTTTGATTTTAATCGGAACTATCAGTATCAACGAATCTCTACTGAAGACATGACACCCCAGGGGCAATGAGCACTGAGGGCCCAGGTCTTGATTTCTAAACACCATTCCCCACCAAAAGGAATCAGAGTTTCTTGGAGAAATTGCTGATGGCAGACCCGGGGTAGGGAAGATACAAGATGAGCCTGTGGCAGAGGGAAGAAGGTGCCCAAAGACTGATGGGAACACGTCAAAGGGACACAAGCCTTTTGTGCTTGGGGCTCCCACTGGACAAATTTGGGATAAATTGAGATGATGAGAATAGTAATGGTGATGGATTAGAACACATTAAGTAAAACAAATCCGTAGTGATACGGAGAGAGAAAGAGAGGGAGAGGGAGGTGGGGTGGGAGGGAAAAAGGAAAAGCTCTTTCTTATAGTAGAATGCCAACAAATAAATGTAGAAAGAATAATGGGGTAAGGTAATCACTACTTCGCAACGCCCAAAATAGTAATTGATTCAGGCAAGTGTCATAAATGGACACTAAACCCATTAATGAAAGATTGTTGGGGAACAGAATAGTCACATGGTCTCAAGGTGTGGGAACGACACAAGATCACTTATGTAGAACTCGTGCCAAAGTGGTTAACTTGAGTCTAATTGTGAGGAAACAATCAGATAAACCAGATAAATTCTACAAACTACTGGCCCGGACTCTTTAAAAATGCCCTGAAAGACCAGAAGTGACTGGGGTCTGTTCTAGATTAAAGGAGAGTAAAAAGATGTACAACCAAATCTAATACATGATCCTTGATTAGATCCTGGATCAGAAAAACAAAACAAAACAAAACTATAAGAGATATTTTTGGGACAATAGTGAACATTTGAATACAGAATGTCAATTAGATAATATTATATCAATGTGTCAATGTTGAATTCCTTGCGTGTGATAAGTTATTGTAGTTTATGTAGCAGATCTCTTATTTGTACTTAGAGGATGCATACTGAAATATTTTGGGGTAAAGTGACTTGTGTCTGCAACTATCTTTCAAATGATTCAGAGGGGAAAAAAATCTTCCTATACATCCCTGAAATGGGACTCGTTTCTTCCTGACTCACCTAATATAACTCTCCCTGCTGGGCTGGTCACTGGTGAAGGCTTCCTTTTCCCTTTTCAGGGCACCTTGTCGTGGGGCCCAGAGTCAGTAGAGCAACAAGTAGGTGCAGGGCCCTCCCCTGGTACTGTATACTGATTTCTTATCCCCTCCCTCCCTGGGAGCACTGGGCTGAGGGCCTGGAGACCCAAGTTCAAGTTCCTGTGACCTTGGGCAAGTTACTCCACCTCCTGGCTTCCTCATCCTGAGCTACAGGCTGTCCAAGACCCCACCCAACCATGATGTTGGGTGGAAGAAGCTGTCCTTGAACTCAGGTGCTTATAGTGTCCTGGGGGCTGGGGACAGTATGATAATTTTAATGACCTTCTATGGCAAGAGGATGGAAATGCAGTTTTGTCCTTTGGATTCTCCCTTCCCTAAACTGGGTCCTAATCACCATTTTGGGGGAGAAAGGAGAAAGCAAGGTGTGTGTGCACACGTGTGAGTGGGCTTGTGTCTGAGCGAGTGAGGATCTGAAGCTGATGCCAGGGGCAATGCCGTGGGTGGGGCCTGAACTCAGGATTTGAGGGTGGGAGATGCCTAGATGCTGATGGGGGCACTGCTGGGTACCCCAGGGCTCTTGGGGAAGTGTCAGGCCTCACCTGTTCTGCGCCCCCAGGCCCATGAGCGGCTGGAGGAGACGAAGCTAGAGGCTGTGCGGGACAACAACCTGGAGCTAGTGCAGGAGATCCTGCGCGACCTGGCGCAGCTGGCGGAGCAGAGCAGCACAGCGGCGGAGCTGGCCCGCATCCTCCAGGAGCCCCACTTCCAGGTTTCCGCCCTGGGCTGGGGTGGCGACTGGGGGAGGGGCTGGCAGGAAGTTAGAGCCAGGATAGGGAAGGGACTGCAGAGCACTGCCCCATGGTCCCTCCTCTTTCCACCACTTCCTCAGTCCCTCCTGGAGACACACGACTCTGTGGCCTCCAAGACCTATGAGACACCGCCCCCCAGCCCCGGCCTGGACCCGACGTTCAGCAACCAGCCCGTACCCCCTGACGCGGTGCGCATGGTGGGCATCCGCAAGACTGCTGGAGAGCATCTGGTGAGAGTTCTGGGCAGGGCCAGACGTGGGGTTTGGAGGGGGGATTGAGAGTAATCAGAGTGGGGCACGTCGAGTCAGGAGAGGGCTGAAGATGAAGATGGGATCAGCTTTGCCCAGGGTTGGGCCCACGCAGACTCAGGAGACCGCAGACACTGTGCATATGAGCTGCATACGTTCATGTGCCAGGACCCTCTTCATTCTGCCCCTTTCCTGCCATTAGTGCTCCTGTAAGTGAAGAATTTGGGCGGAAGGATGGAAGAGGAGGACTCTGAGGGAGGTGGGGGGGAGGGATGGGGACGGAATGGAGGGGCTATTGGGAGACCCATTTGAAGACTCTGACTTGGAGCAGTTGGGGCCTCATCACACCGGCCCTCCGTCCCCAAGGGCGTGACGTTCCGCGTGGAGGGCGGCGAGTTGGTGATCGCGCGCATTCTGCACGGGGGCATGGTGGCTCAGCAAGGCCTGCTGCACGTGGGCGACATCATCAAGGAGGTGAACGGGCAGCCGGTGGGCAGCGACCCCCGCGCGCTGCAGGAGCTCCTGCGCAGCGCCAGCGGCAGCGTCATCCTCAAGATCCTGCCCAGCTACCAGGAGCCTCATCTGCCCCGCCAGGTGGGCCCATCCACCAAGTCCCTCACACAGTCAAGGCCCAAGGGGTGGCTGCTAGGGTCACAGGCCTCGGGTTAGGAGCTCCTCCTCTCCCATCGGTGTTCTCAAAGCAAAACGTGGGGCGAGAACTGCAGGCTGGGGCTGTGAACCCATCCACCTACAGCCCTCTGCGTGTGGTGCACAATGCGCGCATTGTGCATTTGCTCTGATCTTGGACATTCATGCGCATGTGCAAGGGACGTGCGTGCATCCAAGCCCTGGGGTACCCGAGCGTGCAATGAGTGCCTGCATCGTGTACAGCAGTCTGCGTGCCTAGTATCCGCGTGGGTGTGCAGAGTTGGGTTGTCACGTGTCCTGTACAGCTGCCTCCTGGCTGGTGGATTGTGGAGGTCTGGCTGCTCTGCCCACCTCTCCTATTGGCTCTCTCGCCTTCTGCCAGAGCCCTCTCCTTCAAGGGGAGGGAGAGGGTGGACGGAGGGATCCTTCGTTAGATGCCAGGGTCATGTCCCTTACTGGGTGATCCTGCCTTCTCAGTGGGTGGGGCCACGGCCCCAGGCCTGAGCAGATCCCCCATCCCTCTATCTGAGTCCTTTTGTTCTAGATGCAAAGGGAGGCTGGTACCAGGGAGGCAGGCCAGGCAGGGCTGGAGGCATCATGCCTCTAGAGGGGCAGTGCCAGGGCCTCTTTCATCTTTGTGAGGGGAGGGGACAGAGGGTGGACTGTGTGACACTCTCTCCTCCAGGGTTGGGGTGGGAGAGGGCACATCCCATCCAGCCTTCCCTTGGTTCCTCCCTTGACTCTTTTCTGATCCCTGGCCCAGGTATTTGTGAAATGCCACTTTGACTATGACCCCGCCCGAGACAGCCTCATCCCCTGCAAGGAAGCGGGCCTGCGCTTCAACGCTGGGGACTTGCTCCAGATTGTAAACCAGGACGACGCCAACTGGTGGCAGGTGAGCCCTGGGCGCCCAGGCAGTCTTTCCAGGTGTGGTGTGTGGGGGAGGTTTCCTCTCACTCAGGCAGATCTTTGTCACATGTCATTTCAGGCGTGCCATGTAGAAGGGGGCAGCGCGGGGCTCATCCCCAGCCAGCTGCTGGAGGAGAAGCGGAAAGCCTTCGTCAAGCGGGACCTGGAGCTGACACCCACCTCAGGTATGAGGTCCCTCTTCTGCAGACCCTAATCTGGGATCTGACACGGCCCTGCCTGGCCTCACTCGCCCATCTCTTTATGGCCAGGGACCTTATGTGGCAGCCTTTCAGGAAAGAAAAAGAAGCGAATGATGTATTTGACCACCAAGAATGCAGGTGGGTGTTGGAGGCCACCTCCCCTGCCCCTCTTGACATGGCATGTCCCTCCCTCCCCCACCAACAACTGGTTCTGATGCTGCCGGCCTTGCCCCCAGGCCCTGCCCAGTTTCTCTCTGCTCCCAGCCCTAGCTCTCTTACCCTTGGCCTCCCTGAGAGCCCCGCCCCACCCCCTCCACCTGATGAGCAGCCTGGTGAGCAGCGCCATCTCCCTGTGTCCAGAGTTTGACCGCCACGAACTGCTCATTTATGAGGAGGTGGCCCGCATGCCCCCCTTCCGCCGGAAAACCCTGGTGCTGATCGGGGCTCAGGGTGTGGGCCGGCGCAGCCTGAAGAACAAGCTCATCATGTGGGATCCAGACCGCTATGGCACCACGGTGCCCTGTGAGTGGGATCTGGGCCCTGCTGGATGGGGGGCAGGGAGCAGGGCTGCCCTGAGGCCAGGGCTGGGTTCCCTGAATGGGCATCTGCATGGGCACCAGGTCAAGGGGTACTTTTGGATGTGAGGTGTGGGGTGTGCACCCTCTGTGGGTGGGTGGGGGCACTGCAGGCTGGGAAGGGCTGAGATAGCTGTCCCCACAACCTGTGGCCAGGTGAGCTGGGCTGGGCTAGTCTTGCCTTTCCTTCTCTCATGTTCACTTGCTAAAAGCCCAGCTGGGGACCCATGTGAAACAGGGCTGTGAGCTGCCTTGTGTGGCCTTGTGGAAGACAGGGCTTCTTGGTGGCACAACCAGTTGGGGTGGTGAAAGTTCCTGGTTCCTGGAGGCGGGAACCTGAGTGCTGACTCCAGGTCTGCTGGCCTTGCTGTGTGGCTTTAGGCTGTACATTGCCCTCTCTGGGCCTCAGCCCCCCATCTGTGAGCACTGGGTTGGAGCAGGTGATCTCCGAAGGTCCAGTCAGTATGGACATCTCGAGTCTGTGTGTGTGCCAATGGTGAGGGTGAGGACGGTGTGTGGGAAGGCGGCTGTGCTGCGAAGGTGGAGGGCAGGCTGCACCCCCGGGGCTGTGCGGCCATGTGGAACACATGCATGTGCGTCTGAGTGGTGTGGCCTGCCTGTGCATCAACCCCTCCTTCCCCCAGACACGTCCCGGCGGCCCAAGGACTCAGAGCGGGAGGGCCAGGGTTATAGCTTTGTGTCCCGCGCGGAGATGGAGGCTGACATCCGTGCTGGGCGCTACCTGGAACATGGCGAGTATGAGGGCAACCTGTATGGCACACGGATCGACTCCATCCGGGGCGTGGTAGCTGCCGGCAAGGTGTGCGTGCTGGACGTCAACCCCCAGGTACCGCCTGCCCCCCCCTTCCCTGCCGCCCGATACCCTCTCTGCGCGCTCTGCTGACCCTCAGCACTCCCCCTTGTATTTCCAGGCACTTGTCTCCCAGGCACCCCCATATAACCCCTCAGCTACTGCTAGGGACCCAGCCCACCTACAACTTCCTTCTCAGCCTCCCGGGTCCCCTACTCTAGGCTCCTCTGGTTACACCAGCCCCAGCCCCTGCCCTCTACCAGTCATCCCCAGGACTCGTGTCCCAGAACCCCAGGTGCCCATCCTCACCCCGGTCACCCCAGACGTCTGTGGGGATATACTCCCGGACCCCCTTCTTCTCCTGCAGGCAGTGAAGGTGCTGAGAACAGCTGAGTTCGTCCCTTACGTGGTGTTCATCGAGGCCCCTGACTTTGAGACCCTGCGGGCCATGAACCGGGCTGCGCTGGAGAGCGGAGTGTCCACCAAGCAGCTCACGGTGAGGGGCTCTGAGGTGCGGTGGGAGGGGTCTGATGGCTGCCTGGGGTGGGGGGCAGGCTGGAGCTGGTGAAGAAAAGGAGGTGATGTCGGGGAAGGGGAGGGGCGCCCACCCAAGGTATCAGCGAGGTGGGGCTTGCTAGTCCAGCTTTATAGGTGTGGAAACAGGTCTGAGGGAGGAAGTGCCCATAGTCTCATAGAGTCAGGGACACAGCTAGCCCACGCTGGGGGCTGGAGCTTCTGCCAGCCCCACGGCTCAGCCCACTCTCCGGGGACGGAGTGCTGACCAAAGGGAGACCAGAAGGCCAGTGCGAGATCTGTGGGCAGAGGTGGGCCAGGTGGGCTCAGGGCTGTTTACAGCTGCGGGTAAGGCTGAAGGGAGGGAGGAAGCCAGAGGCTGGGAGGCTGGTTGGAGGGGCGAGTCAGCAGCAGGGAGGAGGCAGCGAGGGGAGGAGAGGCTTCAAGTCAGGTGTTGCAGACCCCAGGGCACCCCCCTTCCCCATGGAGCAGCAGCCTTTTCCAGGAGCTGTAGGGTTTGTGGCGCTCTGAGCTCAGGGGTCCCTCTGCTGGCCACACTCGGTACTGCAGATCGTATTCCCCAGGTCAGAGCGCTGCTCTGGCCCAGGACAGTCTGGGCTGGGCTCCCGTCTGCCGCAGGCCCTCTGGCGACAGACACTGGGAACTGGAGCTGCTGGGCCACAACTGGGCCAGCCCGAGAGCTCCTGCTTCGGCTTATTTAAGTCCGTTTTCAAGTTCCCTTCCCACCCCTGCCGGGCCAGCTTCCACTGGGTCTGGGGTGGGGGTTGCCTCCGGCACTGTGGGCTGCGGGAGTAGCAGGCATGGCTCTCAGGCTGCCTAGGTGAGGGGCCTCATCAAACTGGAGGGAGCACTGGCTCTGGAGTCAGGCAGACCGTGTTCAGCCGCTGGCTGGCTGTGTGACCTCTCTGTACTTCAGTGTTCTCTGCTGTAAACGGGGAATAATTATACTGCCTTGCAGAGCTGTAGTGAAGATTCTGTGGTTGTAAAGCAGTTAGTGCCGTGCTTGGCATTTACTAAAGCTATTTCCTTCCTTCCTTCCTTTCACCCATCTGTCTGTCTGTCTGTGGTTGCAGGAGAGCCACCTTGGGGCGTGCAGGGAGGGGCTCCTGCCCCCCAGCCGGGGAGTCCACACCGCCATGGTTGGGCTTTGGGGAGGGACTAGATGGGGCAGCTGTAGATTCCCTGACGATGGGCGTGAGTGGGGGACGCTGACCGGTCCCCTTGTGCCGGGCAGGAGGTGGACCTGAGACGGACAGTGGAGGAGAGCAGCCGCATCCAGAGGGGCTACGGGCACTACTTCGACCTCAGCCTAGTCAACAGCAACCTGGAGAGGACCTTCCATGAGCTGCAGGCTGCCATGGAGAAGCTGCGGACCGAGCCCCAGTGGGTGCCCGTCAGCTGGGTGTACTGAGCCTGATCACCCGGACCTCGCACCCTCTGGGTTGTCACCCAGAACCCTGAATCCATCTCTTTCCCATCCGTGACCCCCAGCCACGACCTTAGCTCCCATCCCTGGCCCTCTGGCTCTCCCTGGGTTATGGCTCGTAGCGGGCCCTAAGTCTGGCTTCAGCGCAGAGACATGCACTGCCGGGGAGGTGGGTGTTCATGGGGTACCTCTATGCCCAGGTGCTGCCCACTCCCAATGCCCATGGGCCACCACATGTCCCTCTCTGAGGGCCATCCTGCACCCAGGAGTGTGTCAGAGTCACCTCCATAATGCTCAGTCCAGAGAGAAAAACTGCTTTGGGACCGTGTGGTCAGTAGGTTCACTGCCCCCTGCCATCTCTCTCCAGTCACATTTTCTCCTCTGGACTGGCCACACCCACCCTATTCCTGGGCTCCTCCCGCCTCACCCCTGTGGCCTAGGAGCAGGCCTTAGGCTGTTTCCATGTGGTCAGGGGAGTGTGTGGCCCCCTGGCAGCCAAGCAGGCCCGGGCAGTGGTGCCAGCCTGATGCCATCCTGAAGGCTGGGAGATCTAAAGCACCAGCCAGTTGTCACAGCCGGGGGTAAGTGCAGCTCTCAGTGCCCTTGGACTGGGGCGGGGTTCCATGAGTGGACACTGCCCTATCCTTCCCTCATCCACAGCTTTCACTGCCGAAGTCTCTCCACAGACTTCTCCAATGTGCCCCTGAGAGGTCGGCTCTGCTCCCCGCGAGACTAGGCCACAGGGATCAGCAGGCTCGGCCCAGGTAGGGGAGGGTTCAGGGCTGAGCCCTGTGACGAGGAGCCTGCTACCACTGACCGAGGAGCCCCAAGCTCTCCATGGCCCGTGGTGGGGGCACATCTGGGCTTCTCCAGCCCGTTTGTCCATTTTAGTCTTCTCTCTGGCTGGGTCCAGGTGGCCCACTCACATCAGGGCTGCGTGGGGGGCTGAGGAGGGATGCGGAGGGAACCTTGTGAGCCGTAGGTTGTGGAGCATGGGCTTGGCGAAGGACGTTTGTGCTCTAGCAGGCTCCTCGTTGCACAACTCCAGGGGGCGCCATCCACACAATTTCTGCAGCTTCTCCACATGCTGTGGGGCCTGGTCTGTGTTTCTGTCCCTGGTGTGTGTGTGTCAGGCTTGGTTTTTGGAGAGGAGAACCAAAGGGTTGTTTTGCTTTGGAGGTCACTCTTTGGGGCCTCTTTTTTGGGGTTTCCCATCAGCTCCCATTTCTTATGAGGCCCTTGTCCCAGATTCCAGAGGCTTGGCCCTCCCCAGATGTCTTCCTCCAGCTCTCCTGTTGTCGTCTGACCCTAAATGCCACCCTCCAGTTTTGGGGGAGGGCAGTTGTGTAAACTAGGGGAATCCCTTTTAAGAAGAGAATGCTGTCCTAGACTTCGCCAGGCATCTCCTCCCTCCTCCTCTCTGATCCTTCCTGGGGCGAGCCTGCCCTTGCAGGCGACCCCCGACGCCCCAGCTCCTGTGCTTCCCAGTTCTGAGCATCTCATCTGTCTTCGCTGCAGTGTCAGCCCAAGCTGGCTCCTGAACCACTGTGTGCCCATTTCCTAGGGAAGGGGAGGGAGAAGAAACAGAATATTTATTACAAAGGTAGAAATATATTTATTATATTAGGGATCTCATTTGCATTTGCATGGGATATGCAAATGAGATGTAAAGGTTAAGCCAGCTCTCATCTCATTTGCATAGCTCTGCATCCACTATGCAGTCATCTTTATACTTGTCTTTTCCCTCTAGTCAGTGTTCTTTTAGTCTTAGTTCAGCTCTCCCTTGCATCACCCTCGCCTTCAGTCTAAGGGGACCGGGAGTGGGAGGAAAATGGGGTGTTTTCCTGCTGGTCTGATGCCACAATGTCTTTTGTTAGTTCTCACCTCACCTGGGGGACTTGGGAGTAGAGGCAGCAAGGATCTGCTGTTGCAGCCACTCTCTTCCCCTTGGTTGACCTCCAAAGCCCCCTGACCACAAGGCCATCCTCTCTGGTGGGGGTAGGGGAGCCAGGCACTGGGGGCTGGGTACCTTGCTGGGCAGTTGGCACTTGGCCCTATAGGGCCAGTCTCCAGTGTTGATGCTGTTCTGGTACCCTCACCTCTAGAGAAGCCCAGGGGAGGGCTGTGCCGCTCTCCTGTCTCCATCCCTCTCTGGACTGCATCCTCCCCTGCCCAAACCCCACTCCACGTTGGAACAGTTGTGTGTGCCCACTCACCATGTTAGCTCCCTGACTCTATCCTCCCTCCTCCCATGTGGACGCCTGTATCTGAGGAACCTCAGGTTAATGAGGACCCTGCCCCCCACTGTCCACACTCAGTCCCAGCCCGGTTGCCCTTCCCCTCTCCCCTCCCTCAGCCGTCCAATTCTTGAGCTTTCTCTCTGACTGGTTTTCTTTCTTTTCCTTTGATTAAATGTGAAAGCAAAGGCTTCTGGGCTCTGTTTGTCTTTGGTTGGGGTTGGGTGGATGGTTTCGGGGAAGGGTGAGAGCCAGGAGCACAGCACAGATGATTCTGGAATGGAAGTCAGGGTGACATGTCTTGTGTTCTGTAATGTCTTCTGAAATTTCCTGCCTTGCTGTTCCACCCTCCCCATCCCCAGAAGATGCTCTTTCAAAATGTTTGTATCCAGGAGTCTATGAGAATTTTGGGGGGCCGGGGGACCCAGGGATTCCATGGCTAATTCACTCAGCTTCTCCTGGAACTTGCTGTGTGGCCTTCAGCAGGTCCCTCTACTTCTCTGGGCCTCAGGTTCATCCTCTGTAAAGTGTCATGGACTCTCCCAGTGCAAATGCTGGGATTGGTTCTAGGTGCCCAACGTTGGTGCCATAGAGAGCTGTCACCATGGGGGTGCTTGTGTGTGTCGGATCTTGTAGGTTAAGGGGTCAGCCTGCCTTCCCACCTTGACTTCTCCCTGAACGCCTGCTGTGGGTTCTCAGGAGGGGCTTTGGCTGTGCCCTTCTCTCTGTGACAACCAAATGTGGAAATGGCCCCCTTCCTTTGATCCCCCCAGAGCATCCACTCACACAGGGACGAGCATGGGGCTGACTTCACTGGTGACGTGGAGGCAGCCATAGGGGCTTATGTCACCCACCTAACAGCTCAGATGAGAATTTAGAATTAAATATTAAATACCCCAATCTCAAATGTCCCCTGACCATTCCCAGAATGTTTTCCTGGTCAGTTTTTCTCCTTAGGTCTTCCTGCCTCCCTTCGTATTGCTGGGCCCTCTCCTGCTTTCTTCTCTCATTTCTGGACAACCTTCTTCTCATCTCCTGGGGCAGCCCCCTGGAAATTCAATATTTTTTTTACTATGCCTAGCAACTCTGCACTTGAACCTTTGTCCTAATTCAGTGGTTCTCAATCCTGGCTGCATGTGAGAATCGCCTGAGGGGGTTAAAAAAAATACAATTGCATGGGCTATACTCCAGATCTATTAGGTCAGAAGTTCCAGAAAGGCTAACTGCTGTAACTAACAACCATAACATCTCAGCAGCTTAACACCTTTAGTATTCATTTCTTGCTCACATCACATCTGTTAGAGATTGGGTGGCACTCCTAGCGGTGACTTCGGGATCCAACCTCTTTCCGTCTTGTGACACCACGATCTTTAAGGAGCAGGCTCCACAGAGAGCCTGGAAAAGGAAAAGGAACAGAGAGTGTAGGAAATTGCTCAGGGATTTTATGGGCTAGGCCTGTCTGCCCACATCCATTGGCCAGAATCTAGTCACGTGGCCCTGGATTACTGCCAGGGAGCCTGGGAAATATAGTCTTCCGTGGTGCTCAGGAAGACAACAGCATCTAGCCAGTCTCTGCTAGGCTGGGAGGGGAGCCTGGGAAGCCCTATGTGTCAAAAGCTCCCCAAGTGATTCTAATGTGTAGCCAAGTTTGCTGACCACGGCTTGTCTTTGACCATACCCTTGGGGTGGGGCAAATTTCCTTTTAGCTCCAAATTGGCATCAAGGTATTTTCCTAATAAAGACAATTGAATTTCTAAAAGGAATTCTGCTACCAGTTTTTCTTTTTTCTTAATCCTTTTCCCCTCCTGGCAGTGTAGCAGGTTGTTAGTAGGGCGGAATGGATTCTTATCATATTATAGTTGGGAAAACTGACCGAGGGAGGTGAAAGGCTTTGTCCAGTGTCACAGAGAAAGTCATTAGCAGAACTGGAACCAGACTCCCAGAATCCTGGCTCTTAATCCTCCCCTCTCCCCCCCATGCTGCCTCCCAGAGGTGGAAGGGGATTGACTAGAAATGGGGGTGGGGGTGCAATTGGAGAAGAAGGCGCTGCTGGAGAAGGAACATGGGATAAGAAAGGGACTATGAGGGAGAGTGGAGGCTACTTTGCCATCCCCAGGTTCAGCTCCTCAAGAGCTCAGCGCACGGGCTGGCCCCGTGGCTTAGCGGTTGGGTGCGAGCGCTCTGCTGCTGGCGGCCCTGGTTCGGATCCCGGGCGCGCACCGACGCACAGCACCGCGTCTCCGGCCATGCTGAGGCCACGTCCCACATACAGCAACTAGAAGGATGTGGAACTATGACGTACAACTATCTACTGGGGCTTTGGGAAAAAAAAAAAGAGTAGAATAAAATTATCCTTTAAAAAAAAAAAAAAAAGAGCTCCGCGCACTGTAGGTGGTTGAGGTGTCAACAGTCTAAAGCCACCTGGCCCCACTTCCCTCAGGGCTGGGTTTGGTTGTGACCACAGAGGTCTGGGAGGGACATGAGCTGGCCGTGTAAGGGAGCAGGGAGGACCATCTAGCTTGTTCTATTGATCTATTTACCTAACCTAGTTGCTATTATCAAAGTTTTAATGATTTAGAAATTTCTCTGTTTTACTATCTAGTAAGGAAAATTTCAAACTACTCTCTTGATCAGTTATTTTTTCTCAGTCATGCTTTCTTATTTATTCTGGAAGGTGAGCTCTAGGATCATTTTGTCAGAGTACACTCTCTTCTTATCAGGATATTGACTGGAATCGCATTAAATCGGTCCATTAATTTGGGAAGAATTAGCACTCTTCAGTGCTCAGTCTTCCCCTCCAGGACCATGGTCTGCCTCTCCATGTACTCGGGTCTCCTTTCAGCCCAGGGTCCCCCACCCACCTGTCTGCCAAGCAGCTTGTTCAGACTGACCTCTTCTCCAACAGCAACACGATAAAAAAGACAACACAGTGACTTCCTTTTTTTTTTTTTTAATAATTTTATTTATTTATTTTTTTCCCCCAAAGGCCCAGTAGATAGTTGTATGTCATAGCTGCACATCCTTCTAGTTGCTGTATGTGGGACGCGGCCTCAGCATGGCCAGAGAAGCGGTGCGTCGGTGCGTGCCCAGGATCCAAACCCAGGCCCTAAACCCAGGCTGCCAGCAGCGGAGCGCATGCACTTAAGCGCTAAGCCACGGGGCCGGCCCCCACAGTGACTTTCTTATCAAACAAAATTCATTCCTTTTAAAGAATTTTATCTCGAGGTTCTCTCTCCTCCCCCTACCTTTGGGGTTAAGATGGTCTTCCTTTTATAAAAGGGCTGTGATATTAGATTTTTTTTTTCTTGTTTCTGAATGTATGAGTTAACAAAATATATTTTGGAAATTTTGCAGATCTGTGAATTCTCAAATCTTGGATTAGATCTCTCAGTAGGTTTAATTACACAGGTGCCCTGCATTTTGTTGGGTATTTTGTATTGGGGTTGCTATTGTGAACAGGGTCTTTTTTTTCTATTATATCTTCTAATAAATCATCCAGTTCCTTGAAAAATTATGGCATAGAGCCTTAAGTATTCATTCAACGACCATCTACTGAGCCCCTTTGAACAAGGCAGGGTCCCTACATCCAGAGGCCCAGAGTCTAAGGGAGCAAATGGAAGACGGTCTTGATCAGGACTGTAATGAGAAGCTGCAGTGGGACCGCCGAGAAGCGGAGTGTGGTAGTGGTGCCCAAGCATTAGTCTGTGGACCGTTTCCTCTGTGGCAACATGAGAAAATTAAAAACAATGCATAAAGTTTATCATCAAGCTGAATATATTTAATTTTAAGGATTATCCTTTATTCTGAGGTAGTGATTATAAATTTTATTCCATCACATGTGGGTGTAAGTAATACCTCATTATTTTTCTAACTTGAATCAAATGTTTCCCTGAGTCCCTGCTCATCAAAGTGGAAAGAAGTGACATCTCAGTCCTGTTTTGAAGGGCTTCTTCCCTAGAGTCACACAAAAATCTACAGGGCTTACACAGTGCCTGGAAAATGGGAGTCGGGGGTTCTAGTCCAGGCAGAGTAGTGAACAAGGTACCTTGTGCTTTTAGACAATGAGAGCCTATGTGAAACAATTTGTATTGTGTTGCTGGGCTTGTGGGAAGGAAAGTCTCCTGGAGGCCACAAAACAACCCTCATAAGTATGGTGAGTGGACAGGAAGGTGGAGTTGCCCTAAAGGCAAATGCCAATATTAGCATCATGTTTGGAAAGTTAAATATGAAGCCAGGGGCCAGGTAAGGCAACCTGAGATTCTGGTACCCAGGGACCTGGGAAGGGGCTAATCTGGTCCCAAGTTGGTGTCATGTCCTGGACCCTGACAGAAGCAAATGCAAATCTTCTCTGGAGGAAGGAATCCTCAGAGATAGCCCCTAGATTTTTCCATACATTAAGATCATCCAAACATGAGCTGACAATGTGAGATCACAAAATATAAAGAAAAAACCACCATGAGTGATAGTCGATATAAACAATAATACATTTGTATATCCAAGGACTTTTGACATTAGACACAAAATGTAAACAGACTATCTACATGTAAAAGGTTTAATGAAATAAAAGATGGCATTACAAAAATTAACAAGTAACAAGACACTAGAATGACCCATCAGGTTTGAAAGAGAACCATCTAGAACTTTTGGAAATAAAAAATACAATGATTAAAATAAAAACTAAATTTGAGAGATTTAATGGTAAATTAAACACAACTGGAGAGAGATTAGTGAACCAGAAAGTTGTTGCCCTAAGTATGGTCCTCGGACCAGCAGCATCATCAGCCCTGGGAGCTTGTCAGAAATGCAGACTCTCAGGCCCCACCCAGATCTACTGAATCAGAATCTGCAGTTTGACAAGATTCCCTAGTGATTTGGAGGCATACTCAAGCTTGAAGTACTAAAGTAGACAGTAGAGCTGAAGAAATGACACAGAATGCAGAACAGAGAGATGAGAAGGGAAATAGGAGGCGAGGTTAAGAGATGGCAGCTATAAAGAGAAGGTCTAAAAAAATTTAATCATGGTCAATGGAGGGATTAAAAAGAATGGAGTGCAGATAATATTTGAGAATTTCCTAGAACTGATGAAAGGCATGAATCCACATATACAAGAATTTACACCAAACAGGAAAAATAAAAAATTTACGGCCAGTAGTGAAACCGCAGAACACCAAGACAAGTGGAGAAGCAGTCTGAGGAAAAGACAAGTCACAACAATCAACCTGATGGCAGACTTCTCACTAGCAACACCTAAAGCTAGAAGACAGAACAGTAATACAGGTATCTGCAGAATGCTGAGAGAAAATGGCTGTCAATCTAGAATTGTGTATCCAGCAAAACTCTTTCAAGAATGTTGATGAAGTAAAGAGATTTTCAGATAAAAACTGATAGAGTTTAGCATCAACAGAACTTTTTAAAAAGAAAATCTGAAATGTAAGAATCTAAGCAAGCACTGTGTGCATAAAATAGCAATTAAGAATGTCTAGTTTGTACCTTCCCACAAAGAAAACTCTAGGCCCAGATGCCTTCACTGATGAATTCTACCAAATACATAAAGAAGAAATATTACCAATTCTACACAAAATCTTCCAGAAAATTGAAGAGGAGGGAATACTTTCCAACTTATCCTGATACCAAGGTCAGACAGAGACCTTAAGAAAAGAAAACTCCATACCAATATTCTTCACGACCAAGTCAAGTTAACCCCAGGAATACGATGTTGGTTTAACATTAGAAAAAAAAAAAATGGAGTCATATTTACAGACTTTAAAAAAACCCAACATATAATCATCTCAGTAGTTGCAGAAAAATCATTGAAAAAATTAACATCTATTCCTGATTTTAAAAAAAGCTCTCAGTAAACTAGGAATAGAAGGGAATTTTCTCAACTTGATAAAATACATCTATGAAAAGTCTATAGAAAACATCATACTTAATGGTGAAAGTGCTTTCCCCCTAAGATCAGGGACAAGGCAAGAATGTCTGCTCTTGCTATCTCTTTTTAACTTTCTGCCGTAGGTTTTAGCTAATGCAAAAAGGCAAGAAAAAGAAATAACAGGCATCCCATTGAAAGGAAGAAGTAATTCTGTCTTTATTCACAGATGACATGATTGTCTATGTAGAAAATTCTATGAAATCTACAAAAAAAAGCTACTAGAACTAGGAAGTGAGTTTGGCAAGATTGTATGATACAAGATCTATACACAAAATCAATTGTGTTTCTATATGCTAGCAACAAAATCAGAAATTGAATTTTAAAAAGCAATACCATTTACAATGGCATCAAAAAATATGAAAAACTCAGGGATAAATCTGACAAAAGATGTGCTAGACCTATACACTGAAAACTATAAAGTATTGCCAAGAGAAATTAAGGAAGACCTAAATAAAGAGTTATACCGTTGGGGCCTGCCTCGTGGCCTAGCGGTTAAGTGTGTGCGCTTGGCTGCTGGCGGCCCGGGTTCGGATCCCTGGCGCACACAGAGGCACTGCTTGTCAAGCCATGCTGTGGCGGCATCCCACACAAAGTGGAGGAAGATAGGCACAGATGTTAGCTCAGGGCCAGTCTTCCTCAGCAAAAAGAGGAGGATTGGCATGGATGTTAGCTCAGGGCTGATCTTCCTCACACACACAAAAAAGAGTTATACTGTGTCCATGGATTGCAAGAATCAATATTGTTGAGATGTCAGTTCTCCCCAAATTGATCTACGTATTTAATGCAATCCCAATCAAAATCCCAGCAAGCATTTTTGGAGGTACAAATTGATAAGTTCATGTGGTCCATTCAAGATGGGCAGATCTGCTGCTTTTGCACCAGGCTTGGGGGCCGCACACTCAGATCCAGCCCCTTAGGGCCCCTCTCAGCTGCAGTGCGGGGTGCCTGTCACATCCTCAAAGTGCTACAAGTGGAGAGCACTTCCCTCCGCTTTGGGGAAGCCCTCTGATCACATCACATCCTCTTGCACTCTCAGGGGCTTTCTACCTTCTCTGCTTCTGTTTTCTCTTCCCTTACGAGCCACTACCTCCTGGATGAGCTTAGAAAAGCTGTCCTCAATGGGCCTCAATGGATTAGGATTACAACATCCAATTCTACATGGAGAGGTAGGGTGGGGAAGGGAGAGCCCAAATCATTCTTTTTTCCTATCAATACTCCCTTTTCGTGATAAAATGTTTGTTTTAAAGAAACAAATGGGAGGATAAAGGATAGTTTATTATTATTATTATTATTATTATTATTATTATTATTGTTATATTTAATATCCCAATTTGGCAAAGCTAAACGTTAGCAACTCTGATGTTCCCCTAATTTTTTCTGAAGTTTTACCTCTCAGCAAGTCCCCAAACTGGAAACGCTTGCTCTCTCAATGGGTGAGGAGTGACTTGTGGCATTCTTTGTTGAAGGGGATTGAAGAGACTCACACATCTACAAAAGATCGCAAGGCTGAATATTTTTTTGTACAAACATAAAACCAAGGTGTATCAAGATAAGAGACTTCGAAGTGGTAAGTGGTAAGGGAGTGGTCCTTCTCCCCTACCTGGTGGGTGGAGCTGGCCCAGCACCCCGGCAGCAGTGGTGGGAGTGAGGGGAGTGTGCGAGCGGCTCCGAATGATACTTGAGTGTTGATAAATCCATGGAAACTTGGAATCCCATGGACGCCAATCCTAGGTTGCCTTGGAGAGAGCTCTGCCTCACAAAAGACACCCGTCTGTTTAGTGGACACTTGCTCTGAGAACGGGCAAGAGGTGGGACTGGGACGACCTGGCTGACCACCTCCTGGTCCCCAGGAAGCCCTGGCTGCCGGGGTGACAGGAGGTTCCTGCCTTCCTGTGGCATTTCTCAAAGTTCTCACCAGTCTCCAGCCGAGGGATTTCTCAAGGGGAATGTCTGCTTTGGGTGAACTTTTGGGGTCTGAGACCGCCTGAAACTTGCTGCTCTCTACTCCCCAAAACCTGGGCACAGAGCCCCCAGAGCTCAGATCCAGGGGCTTCCTCTTTACGCAGAGAAGGTAAGTGGCGCTCACCCCTACCCAGGCGTCTCGGGCTGGCACCTTCTGGTGAGTCTCCTTTGCTTCTTCAGAGGGGCTCCCCCTTGCCCAGCGCCCCCCCCCCCAGCGCCCCCCCCCCAGGCCCTCTAGGGTCTCTCTGCAGGGCATTCCTGAGCAGTTCTCGATTGAAAAGCCCTGGTGGGAGTGAAATAGGTTCTGTCATTTCAGAAAGCTGTTAGCAATGGGTCTCAGTAACTTCACAACGGTTCACACTCTAGGGCCTGGCACTTCCACATATGCAGATCCTTCTCAGAGAAATCTCCAAATGCAGATAAAGCCTTGTGCAAAGATTCACTGTGCTGTTATGTTTCTTGTTAATAGCAAAAATAGAAACAAATTAAATATCTAGTGAGATAGAATTGAAATAAATTGAAGCACATTGATATGATGAAATATTACACACCTGATAAACATTTTATTTATAAAAGGTTTGTAAAAACATGGAGAAATACTTATGATATAATAATTAAGTGAAAAAAGCAGGATATAAAGTTGTACGTACAAAACATTTGTAAAAGAACACCAGCAAATGATGTGGAGAAAAAAGACTGGAAGGAAATACAACAAAATGCAGTAATGACTGTCTCTGGGTAATGGCGAGACTCTGGGTGACCTGTTTTCTTCTTTTCTTCCCCCATCTTTCTAAGTTTTGTATACTGAGCAACCTCCCATTTCACTTTTTAAAGAAAGTAGAAAGAGAAAAAATAATAGTTCTGTAATTCTACCCCCCACACTCACCTCCCCCCTCCAGGGAGCCAGACTCAGGGTCACCTTCAGGTTCCCCTTAGGTTCCTACTCTGTTCTCTCTCCTTCGAGTCCTGTACTCACTCCTTCCAATGTGCCCCTCACCTGGGCCTGGACTTGGGCAGGCCCTGGAAAGCCCCGGGATGGGTCATGGTGTCGTGGGCACAGCAGCCATTATAGAGGGCAGGTGGGAGACCCCACACACCAAATGTAGACTCAAAGCTGGAAGGACCTGAGAGTCCAACAGGCCCACTGATTCTCTAACTCGAGTATTAGAATCACTGGGCTCTTGTTAGAAATGCAGAGTCCTGGGCCCAGCCCCAGAGACGGTTTTGGTAGGTCTTGGTGGAGCCCAGGAATCACATTTTTAACCAGCTTCTTGAAGGACTGGGATGCAGGTGGTTCACAGCCACGCTTCAAGACATCTGAATCCAGTCTAACCCCAGCATGCTCCCTCCTCACCAGCTTATGCAGGAGAAAGTGGTGCTGAGTATGAGGCTGGAAGGAAGGGAGGAGAAGGTGGGGTGAGAGGGGGTGGGGAGGCCTGATGCTGGGCACCCGGGCCTAGGGGATTTCCTGTAGCAGATACAAATTCAGACCAGATCTCCTGAGGCCTGCCTGGCCCTGGTGACGGTCCAGTGGCTGCCCTCCCTGCCCAGGGATGTGAACATATTATGGAGGTCCCAGCCTCTGCTGGAACTGTGAGGCCACCACTGCAGGCTCCGGGGCTGACAAAGGCTTCCAAGTCAGGCAGGGGCATGCAGGAGGAGAGCCTGGGGAGGGTGGAGGAGAGCCCTGGAGTCTGGCGGGTGAACTCTGAAGCTGTAGCAGAAAGCTTATCTGAGTTAGTGCAAATCCAGCCATTCAGATTCACAGCAGGCCTGGCCTGGAGGGTGGTCTGCCGCTAGACTGAGACGAACTTTGAGAAGCCAAGCTCCTCCTCAGACACGTGGCAGGGAAGCCCTGGGATGGTGTCCCCCTCTGGGTCGTGCAAAGAGGCTTCGTCTTCCTCTGAAGTCTGTAAAGACAACAGTGGGGGTTGAAAAGCAGAGCCCAGCTGAGGGGTCTCCAAGTAGCTGCTGGGTCCATCCCAGCCTTTTCCACAGTTCCGGGCCTCTGCCCATCTGAGGGGCACAGGAACTAGGTTCTCCTCCCCAGAACCCCCCGACTCTGATTCATGCCCACCACCCCCATCCACCCATCCCCTGAGAGAGCATCCTCATGGCCTCAGGCCAGGTTCTGGCTGCAGATGTTGGAAACCGGCCAGCCCAGAGATCTTTAAGCTGTGACTCCTGACAAGCTATTAAGAATTTTCTGGATCAGGGAAAAAGAGGATGTAAGCTCAACATCCCTGGTTTCTTGAGTGAAATGGCCTAAGCCCATGGTTATGATGGGGTAGGTGGGTGGACACGGGGGAGCAGAGTTTGGGGAGCGGATGCTGAGGAAAGAGCCCTCCCTCACTTCCCTGCATTGTAAGAGGAGCCAGGCTAGGTGGCTCCGGACCCCCCGGGCCCTCTGTCCCACCTGGCTTAGGCACCGGATCTCCGTGCAGGGACTGGAGGAGGGCTTGGGGCTGGCATGAGGCCCAGTGGGCCCTGCAAGGTTGATCACGGTGTACTCCGGGACCCCGCCGTTCTGGAGCGGCTGAAACAGAGACGGGTCAGAACAGGCCGTTCTTGGCAGCAGGGATGGTCTGTGAGTGGAACAGGAGGCGGGAAATGCAGGAGGGGTGGGCAAGGGGAAGAAGGCGGGCTTCGGAGTCAGAGCCCTTCGGCCAAGTTTCCTAGTCTCGCCCTTCGGTCAAGCTTCCTAGTCTCGGGGGACCTTGGACAAGCCACCTAACCTCCCTGAGGCTCAGCTTCATCAGCTGTAAATGGGGACAAGAATCCTTCCCTCAGGGTTACAGTGAATATTCACGACAATGTTTTATCACTCAACAACTGGGAACTCCCGGAATGATTCATTCGTTTTCAGTATTGTTATTTCTATCCTTTAAGCAGAAAGAACGCGCAGGCTGCAGGTTCTTTGTGACAGGCCTGGAGACAGCAAAGCTGGACGCCTCAAAGACTCACCGAATCACAACACAGAAAAAAGTCTTAGGAGATTATAGTCTGAGCAGTCGCTCTTTGATCACTGAGGAAACTGAGGCCCAGGGGAGAGAGGTGGTAGTCCAGAGTGCGTGGGGAAGCCCATCTCCAGCCCGGGGCCGGGCTGTCCCCATAGGTCCTCAGGTCAGAACGCCAGGCTCCTCCATGTCCCGCCCCATTGTCCTGGCAGCTGGGCAGAGCAGAGGCTGGAGCCGGCCCCCAGCCAAGTCTCCCAAGTGCACAGCTGCCCTGAGGTGCCCTGGCCAGCAAATCCTATGGCCCTATGGGCACTGAAGCCAAAGAAAGAAGCTCCCATTTTCTGGACACCTAGGAGTGTCTCATCTCACTTGTTCCTAATCACAATCTGTGAGAAGGGAAACCGAGGCTCAGAGAGGTGATGTAACTTGCCAAACGTCACACAGCTGGCAAGAAGCTGAGCTGGGACTTGTATTCACAACTATTTGACCTCAGACCGAAGCTCTTTTCCTACACTATGCTGCCATCCTGACAGGGCATGCCGCACACTTCTCTTTGTCTCCGTGTCTCTTGTCTACCAACTGGGCCCCTGCTTTTGTCAGTACCCTCACCGCAGGGGATGGGGGCAGAGGTGGATGTCTGAGCCATCTCTGGTGACACCTTCAGTCTTACAAGATAAAACTCAGAGCAGAATTTCTCGGAGGAGAAGTGACTGGGGGGCTGAAGGGACAAGGGAATGAGGGCAGGGGGAAGGAGATTTCACAAATGCTGTCACTCATGGCCTTTGGCCCTCCCAGCCCTGCCTATGGTGAGGACATGGCGGAGCTGGGCTGGAGTAGAGGACCCCCTGACATCAGGTCCATTTCCCATGAATCCCATATTTACAGCTTTGTGATTCAGTCAAAACCCAGCCACTGCTAACCACTGACCACCAGCAGCCATGGACGTATCCCCTACTCAAGGATGACCAAATTTGAGGAAAGAACCTCATGGGGCAGAGACCAAACCACACATGTAGGCAGTGGCCAGGACCACGACCCTGTGTCCAGTGTGGGTCTCCATCTCTCATTGGTTCCTCTGCCACACTGTGGACAATCAGAGGCATTTTCTGGGTTGATGGACACGCAAGATGAGAGCCTCTGCTTCTAGACACTGGAAAAATAGTAGCAAAGATGTCGCAGGGAAGCCTTGGGAAGCGTGTCGCGTCCTGATCTTAGCCCAGCTCTCCCACCTGGGCCCTTCCAGGAGTCAGGGGCCACGGCCATCCCACGTGCATGGCCCGAGGATGGGTTTCTCTCCCAAGTCTGGAGAGAGTCTTGGTCCCAGGAGCTGGCTCCATCCCTCAAGCCCCTGGCCTTCAACGTGGAGGGTGGAAGGAGCACAGGGCGCTGCAGCCAGCCCCGCGGACCGAGGTCAGTTTCCCTGGTTCTGCCTCTTTCAGGCTGGGTTGCTGTGGGAAAGTTATTTATCCTCTCTGAGCCTCTATTTCTTATTCTGTAAGGAGGAGGAAATAATAATACCTAGCTCATGCGGGGGTAGAAGATTTAATGACATAGGAAAGCCCCTGGCACACAGTAGGTGTTCAAGAAAAGGATACATGGAGAGCTTCTAGCAATGGCTCTCTGGGGAAGGAAAATGCTGGTCTGACCCCTAACACTTCCCTCTGAGTTTTCACATCCCCCTGGGGCTCTCTGGCAGAGCGAGTTGAGTGTCCTCTTCCGTCTTTGACCTGAATGTGGGCAAAGAAAACCCCAAACCCTTTCAATTCCACCTCCAGACTCTGCTAAAAACTACAGAGAAGCCAAAAGGGAAATAAACAAAAAAAAAGCAAATTTTCTCAACTGGCCATATTCCCAGGGTCTTCCTCTGACCTTCTCCATCCTTCCCCCGACAAGGGGCCGCCCCCTGCCAGCCCCTCTGCCTGCTGGCCCTGCGCCCTTTCCTGTCCCTCCCCCAGAGCAGGGGCCTCAGGTGGGCAGCGGTCCAGGTGAGCTGGAGGGCAGCAGTGCAGGGAGAGGGGCTGGCACGGGCACTCTTGGCCTCCCCATGGCGAGCGGAACAGAGGTTCTCCCTCCTTCCCCAGCCCATCTTCTGGAGTGGGTGGGGGTGAGCCCCAGGAGGCAGAGCCAGGAGGCTGGGCTCTGGCAGTGGTAGTGGCGGTCTCCATGACTTTTCCCACCTTTGGCCTTGTTGAGCTTCCTGAGACAACAACAGCTGCTCTCTGAGCCAGGGCCCAGCGCCCCATTCCCCCTCCAGCCCCTCCCCTAGGGATCGGGCCTGAGTCTTTTGTCCTTGCTGGCGCCAGGAAAGAAGGTGATGGTAGCCCCCGCTTCCTGCTCTCATGGTTAAGGGAATCAAAGTGGAGGCATCTCAGTAAACAGCTGAGGGAGGAAGGGCCGGGGTGGAAGGCTGGGGGCGGCAGGTGGGCTTAATTCTGCAGCACTCTCTGGAGGAGTGCTGGCGTGGGAAGGGATGGTCTCTCCTTGCAGGGGTCAGGGAAGGGCCCTGAAGCAGGCAGCCTTAAGGCAGGTTCCTCTCTCCAGGAAGATGAGGACAGGGACTCCCATTCCTTCTACCCCCTGGTCCCGAGAGCACCACCCTTGGCCTGGGTCTCAGGGTAGCCATGCCACCTTGGTCTCAGAGCCAAGGAAAGCTCAGAGAAAACATTAGGGTGTTCCAGAAAGAGGAGAGATGGGTCCTGCTCTCTATTTGGGCCACGACCTGCTATGTGGCCTTGGGAAGACTTTTACCCTCTCTGGGCTCAGTTTCCTCTTCTGCAAAAGCAGACTAGAGTCTGAAGTTGTCATACTCTGGTGTGCTGTCAGAATCCCTGGAGGCCATGTTTTAAATTCAGGTTCCTGGGCCCCCCAGAGGTTTCTGCTAGGATTGGCAGGGTGTATTTCTAACAGGCACCCTGCCAGGTGTTCTGAAGGAGGTTTTGCACCAAACTTAGAGAAAGGCTGACTAGATGACGTCAAAGGCCCCCTCTGGATCCAGCTCTGATGTTCTCTCACGGGCAGAGGGCACTGGGCCTGGGACGAGCCCTGCCTGGCACCTGGTGGGAAGTCAGGGAGAGGAGGGGCATTCTGCCGGCTCGCAGCCTGAAGGGCTGATCTTGGGGCTCACACAGATTCCCCGGAGGTGGGAAGCAAGCCCTGCCTCGAGGTAGGCTGTGGAGGACCAGGTAGGGAGACACAGAGGTGGGGCCCAGGCGTCTTGACGTCCAGCCCCACGGGGATCCAACCTTGGGCTTTGGTCCGCCTCCTTCCTTACCGAGTCTGAGAGGTGGACCTTCTCATTCCTCTGTGTCTCCGTGGCCAGTTGAGCTGAAAGAGACCGGAAGGAGCACCTTGAAGCCAAGAGTAGCTAGGAGTAGCCTGCAGCTGCTCCCGCAGCGGTGGATGGGCCCCCTTGCACCTGGGAGTGGGTGCTTCGCAGAGGGAGCTGGCAGGCAGATTGGGCAGAGAAACCCCTTCCAGCTCAACCCCTTGGCAATGACCCAGCATTCTGAGATCAGTACCTGGAAATCCCCTGTGTGGGCTGGAAACCGGCTAGGGAAGAAATTCTGTGTGCTAAGGTCGTTGCTTCTTAAACCTCAATGTGCATACAAGACCCTGGGAAATTATATTAAAACGCAGATTCTAATTCAGTGGGTGGGGGTTGGGGCGTAAGAGTCTGCATTTCTAATAGGCTATTAGGGGATGTCACTCCTGCTAGCTGGGGACCACAATTTGAGAGGCAAGGTGCCAAGAGGCTCTGAGGTGATGGAGATGCTCCCATCCTGTGTCCCCATCCCCCCGCCCCCGACTCCTCTGAGGGGGCCTGGGGACATGGGCAAAGCTGACAGTTCTTCCTGGGGACCACACAGGGAGGAGTCGGGATGCAGGCCCAGGATTCCCCCACAGCCACCTGCACTGGGACAACATTGCCAATTTGCAAAGCGCTTTCACACACATTTCCCTGGTGCCACCGCTTCCTAGCCGTGCAAAGACAGAGCAAGCTGCTTAACTGCTCTGTGCCTCAGTTTCTTCCCCTGAAAAATGGGGGCACTTGTAATAAGTAGTTCCAAACTCCACAGGATGGAGGAGATTAAAGGAGATAAAAGCAACGTAAGCCACACAACAGTGCCTGGCCCATGGTGGCTGCTATTACCGTTATTTCAGTTAACCCTCTTAATCTGTGCCGTCCGGCACAGGCGCCACAAGCCGCACGCGGCCACTGAACACTGGAAATGTGACTACTCCAAGTTACACAGAGTTTCCAAGACTCAATGAGAAAAAACGAATGTAGAATGTGTATCATTAATATTTTTATATTGATTCTATGTTGAAATGACAATGTTTTGGATATCTTGTGTTAAGTAAAGTATATTATTAGAATTAACTTCACTAGTTTCTTTTTACTTTTTTTCACGTGACTACTAGAGAATTTTAAATGTCACATGCAGCCTGTATTCTGTTTCTGTCTGACGTATATCTGAGGAAGCTGAGGCTCAGGGAAGTTAGGTGATTTGTCCAAGGTCACACAGCTAAAAAGTGGCAGAGCTGGGATTTGAACCCAAGCCTTGAAAGGGGCTAAGCGCCTCTGGAGACCCAGGGGCAGATGTGGGGCCACAGTGTCTGTCCTGCGCAAGCTCCAGTGCTCAGTCCTGCACTCCTCCGTATAGTCAGTCCCCATGCAAGGAGCTGCACCTGCAGAGACTGGTCGTGGATTCGCTGGGATCGACAAGGCGAGAAGGGACTGACTGATGAGCTCCACCAGACGTGAGCAAGCCGAGAGCCCCCCATTCTCCCGCTCCTGCGTTTGAATTGTTTTTTCCTAACGTTGACTGCCCTGTGGTTCCCTCAGAAGGGAGGAACAGGGCTCCTGACGCCCACATCTCAGACAGACACACTGACCCTCAAGGCCTCTCTGGGGAGGTGGGGAGACCGCAGGTGGCAGTGAGGTCCCTGGTAGAAAGCCTCCCATGCCCTCCCGTCTACCTCTGCTCACCTTCCTTCCTCCACCGGAGCATGTAGTTGCCAAGGGCAGCCAGGCCTGCGGCCAGCAGAAGGCTCAGCAGCACCAGGACCGGGGCCAAGATGTGGACCGTGGGGGTGGACACCCTGCGGGTGAGATGGAAGGAGGCCAGCGCTGTCACCAGACATCAGCGGGCATGCTGTGCCCCATGGCATTCTCATTCTGCGTCCCAGCCACGTCCCTGACGTTCCCAAGGAGATCAGAGGGCACCGGGGCCCACAATATCTGCTCGGTCCCAATGGAAGGGACCTCAGCCCCCACTGCCAACTTGGGAGGCACTTTCAGCCGAGTCTGAACTCGCCAGCAGTTACTCGGATGTCAGTACTTGAGTGCAGCTACAGATAACCCTCAAGAGCCAATCCTTCAGGCTGGGGCTCCAGGTGGTAAGAAAAAAATAATTTTTTTTTTTTTTTTGTGAGGAGATTAGCCCTGTGCTAACATCCGCCAATCCTCCTCTTTATTTGCTGAGGAAGACTGACCCTGGGCTAACATCTGTGCCCATCTTCCTCCACTTTATATGGGACGCCGCCACAGCATGGCTTGACAAGTAGTGCGTTGGTGCGTGCCCGGGATCCGAACCGGCGAACCCCGGGCCGCAGCAGCGGAGTGCGTGCACTTAACCGCCTGCACCACTGGGCCGGCCCAAAATAATTTTTTTTTACTTCATATTTTCATGTAGCGACTGAAATAAAGAGTCTGGGTAAAGGTTAATAAAGGAGTCTATTTGATAACCAGCGTGAAGAGTTGGAACCCTGGGAAACAGTTTGACAGCGTGCTCTGCCGGAACAGCTTCGGGGTGTGAGTTAAGTGTAGCTCACGTCTCTTCCACAGGCAGAGCACGTGCAGGAAGAGGAAAAGAAAAATCTTTACAACTAGAGTTCATATGTGCCAAGAAAAAGGGACAGAGAACATGTGGGCTTTTCTCTAGATTATACATTGAAGTTAGCATAAACAAGAATTCCTCGGTTATACATCAAACAAGTTCAGAGACGCTGATGTTATCTGTGTGTAGAGGGAGGCAAGGACCAGGGTCGTTCATGAGTTCCTCAATCTCTAAGAAATGCAGCCGGGGCATGTGAGAGCAAGTTCCCCTTTATCTCTTCCTGTCGTGGATCTGCCCAGCTAGCGACGTCAGACGTGAGGTGTGGGGATGCAAGGTCATTTGACACAAGCTGAGGATGGCCGGCACGGCTGCCTCACAGGCCAGCGTGGATTTTATTGTACTGACTTAAAGCCTATGCAGTTTGCTTGCTAGATTCGCCTGTTAGACCAGGGAGAGGCGTCCCACATCTGCTTGGCATGGGGTCCAGTGCAAAGTGGACAGGCAAAAGCTACTGAATTGGGGTGGCTATCCCTGAAGCTGAAGCAGGGAGAGAGGTGGGGACTGGGGCCATGGTGGACCCTTCACCTTGGTGGACCCTTCACCTTGGTGGGCCCTTCACCTTGGTGGGCCTGCATGTCCAGGCAGGCAGCAGGGCTGCTGGCCCCTGAGTGTAGGTTGTTCACCGCTCAAGGGCCCTGCTGAGAGGGGAACGGGGACTGAATCTGCCCTCTGTGCCGCAATCTGTGGCCATGACAAGAAGCTGTGTTTGCCTGGAGGAAGGAGTGTTAGGTTCTTATTTGCTCAAAGGCACCTCATGGTTTGGTGATGGCCTGAAAGGTGCCCTTGGTCACCTGGGGCTCACCTGGACTTGGAGCTGCTGCTGCTGGGGACAAGACTGGTATCCTCTGCCGAGGTGGAGTCCAGTTCTGTGGCTGGGTGGGAGGTCCCTGCATGAGGAGAGGTGGCTTCGTGAGGAGAGGTCACTGCGTGAGGAGAGGTCGCTGCGTGAGGAGAGGTCGCTGTGTGAGGAGAGGTCTCTGCGTACAGAGAAGTCGCTGCGTGAGGAGAGGTCGCTGCGTGAGGAGAGGTTCCTGCGTATAGCGAGGTTCCTGCGTGCTGGGACGGGGAGGGCCCTGTGAACGGAGAAGCCTCGGGCCCTGTCTTCCCCTGCTTGGCTGTGGTGACTGTCGGGTGAAGACCAGGAGAAGCTACAAGTCCAAAAGCAATGCCTTAGCACCTTCTCTGACCTTTGAATCCCAGCAGCCCCAGACCTCTGACCCTTGACCCCTGAACCCTAGCCTCCCTGGGACCAACGTCTCAGAACATCTGCAGCTAAAGGACACCCCAGGAAGCAAACAGAGGCCTAGATGAAGCTATTGTGAGCAAGTAGACCATACCTCTGCCTCGCCCCAGGCCTCTGCATGGCTTCCAGCCTTTTCGTGCCGGCAGCCTGTCCTCTCCCTGGGGAGGGGCAATCACAGCCCCTCCCTCCTCCAAGACCCATTCCAGAGACCACTCAGCAGATGCCTTCCTGCCCTCCCCCTTCAGTCCTGGCCAATTGTCACCTCTGCCCTCACCAGAAAGTCCTCATGTCACCATCACATGCCCACCCCACCACCTATGCCTCGGTGAGGCCTTGACCTCCTTCAGCAGCCACAAGGTGTGCAGGGCGGGGTGCCAGGGACTGTCTAGAGGGCCCGGGGAGCCTGCAATTCCTCAGCTGAGAGTCCAGCTCCTGGCTGTGAGCGCCAGAAAGCGCGGTGTCTGGCACCAGGCAGGCATTCACTGGAGGTTTCTTTAAAAAGGAGTTGGGGGGGCTGGCCCCGTGGCTTAGTGGTTAAGTGCGCGCGCTCCACTACTGGCCGCCCGGGTTCGGATCCCAGGCGCGCACTGACGCACCGCTTCTCCGGCCATGCTGAGGCCACGTCCCACATACAGCAACTAGAAGGATCTGCAACTATGACATACAACTGTCTACTGGGGCTTTGGGGAAAAAAAAGGAGGAGGATTGGCAATAGATGTTAGCTCAGAGCTGGTCTTCCTCAGCGAAAAGAGGAGGATTAGCACCGATGTTAGCTCAGGGCTGATCTTCCTCACAAAAAAAAAAAAAAAAAAGGAGTGGGGGAGGGACAGGAAAACGGTTCACTCACTCAACTCTGGGGGCTGAGTTTGCCAAGCTTTTGCCTTGGGCTGGAGGCTCGTTGTAGCAAGAGGCTGGAAGGAGGGCCTGGGGGAGGCAGGACAGCAGGGCTCTGGAGGGAAGGGAGAGGCTGGTCTCAGGGAGGCCAGGATCACTGCTCTGAGCAGATTTCCTGCCCTAGGAGCAGCCAGCAGCTTGCCCACCCCCACCCCCACCTCCCCTCAGAGCATCGCCATCTTCTCTCCTCAGCCACTCAGGAGCCGTGGATGGCAGATTTCAGCTGACTGCTGGCCGTCCCCTCCTGCAGTCCCCCTGGCTTCCCCCTCAGCTCAGCCCTGCTTTTCTTGTCCCCCAACTGCCCACCAGCCTGTGCTTTCCACGCCACCTTCACGCCAGCGCCAGTTACGTCTCTAAAATACATACTGGATCTCATCGCTCCCTGCTTCAGAACAGCCAGTGGCTCCCCGTTGCCTATAAGCTGAAGTTCCAACTTTTTAGCCTGCCCTTTGAGGACTTTAAACTCAGACTTCAACCCACCCAGTCAGCTTCACCTCTTCCCCACCTGGTGCGCAGCCCTACAGAGTCACCTCTGTTCCCACGCAGTGAGCCTCTGGCCCGCCTCCACCACTTTGACATGCTGTTCCTCTGTGTGTGATGCTTTTCCTTTCCATCTCTGCCTAACACACTTCTTTGTGTGCTTCAGTGCCGGCTCAAAAGTCAACTCCTCCATAACGCCTTCCATGGAAGGAGCAAATCCCTGCCTTCTGCGTCCCCACGGCTCCCTCTGCACCGCCGGGGGAGCTGACGCCCAATCAGGCTGAACAAGCTGTTTCCCGGGTCTCCCGCTAGGCTGGGACCCCTCAAGGGCAAAACGCTTGTTCTCTGTGCCCAGCACAGTGTGGCCAAACCCCCGGAAGTCGCCGAGCTCCCGACTCCCCCACGTCCATCTGTCGCCTCCTTCTGATTCGTGCCATCCAGACTCTCTCCCTCTCTCTGCCACTCTCTATTCTAATGCCAGGTCAGTTTTTCTGAGTAAATGATCAATCTTCTGCAGATAAAGAGAACTTATTTTTTCCTTTCTAATACTTATACTTCTTTATCTTGTCAGATGTCATTGCCTAGGGCCTCCAGGCAGTGATGAACAAAAGAAATGAGAGTGGGTCCTCTTCTCTTGTTCTGACTTCCCTAGAAATTCTTCGTTTCCCCAGACTCAGTGGTATGCTGGAGATGGCTCGCACTGGCTGGGGAGGGCTGAGTGTTAGTTTCTCAGGGATTTTGTGAGCCCGTTATTAAACTGTTGGTGGCTGGAAACTGGCCACGGCAGAGGCATTTACACTACAGAAACTGGCAAACACTACAAATCAGAGCTTCCCCTGCCAGTTGTTAAACATTCCCCAGCACACCACTGCCGTTAGCCTTCTTTATTTTCAAAATCCCAAGTGTCATTAGAGAGAGGCCAACAAGTTCTGATACAGGAGGAAAACATAATTATGCATATATTATACACAAATAAATAATTATAAATGAAGGTAAGAATAAAAACAGGAGAGCTTCAGATACAGGTAAAATTGATCACGCTAGGTAAAAACGAGGTCTGAATACTGGTAAGAATAGGAAGAGATCAGAGACTCTTGTAAATAATGGAGAACAAGTTCAGTGTGGTTTTGATGCTGCTGTTATTATTTGGTGAGGTTACCTTTATTTCCTTGAATTAATTGAAAACCCATGGATGATGGGGACCTGGCAGTGGGCATGGGCCTGGGGATGGGATGGGTCCCAGCTACAGGGCCAGGAGAGGGAAAGACCAAACACCAAAGCCAGAAACGACCTGCATTTGAATCCTCACCACTTCCTGCCGTAAGACTTTAGAGAAATTGTTTCCTCTCTGGGAGCCTCAGTCCCCATCTGTGAGATGGGAACAAAGACCTATCTCACCCTCACTAACTGACAGCCTGGGGCTGCCCATCCCCCTGGGCCTCTCTGGCTTCTCTCTCCTCAGCTCAGCAGGTCCACGTGGGACTCGGGCACCCAGAGAGATGCTCCATCCCCAGCCCGACCCCGTGGCTCCAGCCCCAGCCCTCTAGAGTCCCCGAGCTCCACAAGGCCCTCTGAGGCTGGTTCCCAGGCACTCCTTGCACCTGTCCTCATACTTGAAGCTCTGGGGAAGAGGAGGCCAGAAGGGAGAGCCAAGGCCACAAGCAGGGTGAGGCCAGTGTGGCCACGGCAGGTGACGCTGTGGAGCGGGTCCGGGATGCAGCCATGGCGGGCTCAGCCTGAGGAATCCTTAGGAATATCTCTGACTCCAGGGAGGAGTCTTTTTTGTTCTGTGGGATGTCCATCTTGTCCCCAGCCCATGGCAGTCTCTCCCACATCTGGGCAGAGAGGAGAGGCACTGAGCATGGAGTCTGACAGGTCTGAGTTCCATCCCGCTCTGCCCCCGACTAGTGCTGTGACCTTGGGCAGCAGGAGTGAAAGAGTAGCTGAGGCTCGGGCCACACCAGGTGCGCCCCAACCGCAGCTGAGCATCATCTCACTGAGTCCTCGAGACCCCCGATGAGGCTGGTGCGATCATTACGCCCCTTCGTGACAGGGAAACTGAGTCCACCACTGATCACCTACCCACCTCTCCCTCTCCCTCTGCAGCTCCTGGCCCCCAGCCGGGGAAGGAGAGACACGTGTTACCTGGAAAGACGAGCAGAGAGACCAGGGAAGTCCAATCAAAGCCCAGTCTTTCGGCCCCACACCAGTACTTCCCCGTGTCCTGCAGGGTGAGGTTCCTCATGGTCACGGTGAGCTTGAGCTCCTGGGGGCTGTCTCGGATGGACACCCTGCCCTCCGAGCTCTCCTGGCCATCTTCTTCTGCATAGATAGTGCCAGAGCAGTGGGAGATCAGGATCCTTTTCTCCCTGCACCAGTATTTCTTGCGCTCCCTCAGCTTCTCCTCGTAGGTGCACTGCAGGGACACGGTGTCGCCTTCAAATCCACGGACCTCCTTCGGGCCCTTCAGGGCTCCATAACCTGAAACCATAGCAGGGATGAAGGTCAGAATTCCCTGGATTCAAGTACCAGGGTCAAGACCACACAGCCCTTCTGGGGGCAGCCCTGTAAGAGCTGGTACTCCCCTCCCCTACTGGGGGACCTTGGGACCGGGCCACAGCTGTTTGCCTAACCCTGGCGTATTGAAGGGAGGTGGTAGAGAAGCTCTAGATTCAGACAGCCGGGAGTTCGAATCCCAGCACTGCCACTCAGTAGCTGTGTGACCCTCGAGAAGTTGCTTGACATCTCTGGTCCTCTGAGTTTTCTCATCTATAGATGACAATAATGTCCTATTTCATTGAATTAAGATGCTATCATATGTAAGAGCCACAATAACTTTATATGCCACTAACAAAAAACATTGTCAATTGAAAACTGACATCAGTTATAAGATGCATCCTGATTTTTTATGTTAAAAGGTAAAAAAAAAGAAAAGCAGGCCTGTGAACTGATGAAATGGGATAATTCTTTATCTCTTGGGGTTGTTGTGAGCAATATAGCAGAGATTCAAGAAATATTTGCTGAGTTTAAGATGGCAACCATATAGGGGTGTCTTGTCTGCCTCCAGGCTTGGCCAGAGTAGGGAAACGAAGATGAGAGAGGTAAAGCTTCTCTCACAGCCACCTAGCCGTGAAGGGGCTGGTACCCACAGGTCTGGGAGAAGAGCTGGCTCTGGGTTCCAGAAACAGCAAGGGCAGCCCCGCTTGAGGGCTGGGGCGGGCGAAGCCTGCAAGGATCCCGCAGCGGGGCTGGGTCACAGGCACATGCGCTTCGGGGAAAGAAAAGGTTGGTTCAGGAGGTCGTCTCTCTGCAGACCCAAAGGGCGAGCTTGGGCGTGAGCCCCACATCCCTCCACCACGCGCCCAGCCCCATCTCACCTGGCAGCACGAGGCAGCCCCACAGCAGGACGAGGGGCCGCATGGTGGGCACTGGACACGCGGAGCACACGCCAGGAACTGGGAGCTTTAACTTCCTGCAGATGCGCCAGATCAGGACAAGGAAGGGAGGGGAGGGGCCGTGAGGGTCACTCCTCCGCGCGCCCAGCCCGGGGAAGCGCCTCTGCCGTTCCCTTAACTGACCCTCGGTGCTCACCTCCCCCTCCCGGCCTGAAAACCCACTGGAGCGCTCCTCCCACAGCCGTCCCCCTTCCCGGGGGTCTTAACCAGGTCCCTGGCCATGCGCCCCGGGCGGGGGGGGGGGGCGTTCTGTGCGTAGAATTCAGGGAGTCCATGAATTTGGATGGGGAAAAATTACATATTGACTTTCACTACCCATTAAAAATTACATATTGACTTTAACATTTGTGTTTTCCTTCTATTATGAGCGTTAGTTGTGTCTGTCACCGATACAAATCACTTACACCAACACATCAAGTTGTCGCAGATAGCTCGAAATATCGAGTATCTCCTTAGTGCTTGGAAAATAATTAGTTACTAGACTTGCCACTATTTAAATCGCTAATAAAACACATTTATCACTATATTACACAATTATAAATATTTTGATAAGCACTTCAATATTATTGGTTTTCTCTCATGTGTATGTATTTTATTTTACATACGTAAAAGACCATTACCCTGAGAGGGGACCCATAAGTTTCCCCCAAGTGGAGAATAGCCCAAAGTGGTCCATGGTCCAAAGGTTAGGGGCCCCGGCCGCAGGGCCCACTGCGCCCTCCTCCCCCATCACCTCCGGCAGGGCGCAGTACCGCCCTTGGCCACAGGGCGGCGGTGCAGGCGGGGTGATGAAAGCTGTGGGGCTGGGCTGAGCGGGTTACCGGAGCCACCGGCAGGCGGCGCTGCAAGGCTGGTCTCCCCAGGCGCGCTGAGCTGTCTTGGCCCTTAAAAGAGTGAGTGAATTCGCGGTTTCCCACCTCAGAATCGAATCCTCCTGGAAAGGAACAAAACAAACATGCACACTAGAGGGAGCCCTGACACATCGTTTTCCAAAATAGCTCTGTCGGGTTTTGTTTTCCTGATTGCCAAGTTCATACAGGTTGTAAGCAAAATTTTACACAATACAGAAATGTAAAAAAAAAAAAAGATAAAAAAGAGTGGGGACGTTTCCTGTAATTCGCCTCCTCCCTTAGAAAACCATTTTGGCATATATGCTTCCATATCTACAGGTGGAATTTTACCCACTTGGAGGGTTAATAGTTGAAGCATGAACTCAGTGGTTCTGGGAGGGGAGACTGTGCATGAGGGTGTGATTCTGGTGATGTGGGGAGATGTGTTTTACTTTCACAGTCATGGGGGGCACTGCTGGCATTGAAGGCGCAGGGACAGAGATTCGCGTTGGTGAAAACCATGTTACCATGATCTCAGCCCAGGACCTGACCCCGGTCACACGTTCGGTTTACAAAAGGTAATCAAAAACACAGGTTAAAATAATATTTATTCTAGCGTTTGATAGTATATTTCTGCTCTTTCATTTTTTTTGTTCTTATGAGAATAATTTCCGATCTTCTTACTTTTCTTAAATCCTGACTTATTTCTTATAAAGCAGGGCAAGTGTCTGACGCTTCGTTATGTTTTCTAGTGTCACGGGGCCTGAGCACTGACGTTTCGAAATATGTGCTAATTTGGTTACAAATTGTTTTCCTTTTAGTCTTCCTCGCTATTACAACTCAGGCATTATATTGTGATTTTTAAAAGTTAAGTGTGTGGGAAGGCAGATTACTTATTATCCTCATTTCAGGAGAATAGAGGAAGTGTTCCCCCAAATTTTATTTTTAGGAAGAGGGTGTTGGGTCTCTTATGCATCCTCCCTGCCCTCTTCATGCCTACGTGAGGTCCCTCCCTCCACCCTCCCAGCCCCACACCCAGCCAGGAGCTAGGCCTGAGGACGCCGTTAGAGACAGGTCTTCCAGGCCCAGAAGTGGTGCAAGAGTTGGGGAGAAGGGCCAGAGTGAGGCGCTGGCATGGGCCTTGCAGCTGGTGCTACTGCAAGGGGTATATAGGGGCAACGGATAGACCCCCCCCTGGGGGGGTCGGGGATCTGAGAGGAGAGGACACCTGTGTCCTGCTTGCTACCCAGAGTACTGGGAGGTGCCCTGCCATCATAGGACAGCAGTGGGGCAAAAGGCTCCTGGACCTGTGAGCTCGTGGCCGCCTCCTCACATCCTCCTGACATCCGTGTGCCGGAGAGTGGCTTGGCTGCGCCTGCAGGTGCTGTGGCTGGGACGAGCGGCTGGGCAGCAGACACGGGGAGGAAGAAACAGCCACCCTGGAGCCTGCAGGAAGTCGGAGAGCCCGGCGGATGCCAGCACGGGCAGACAGTGACGCAGGCTGCCCCTGCTTCTCTAGGCCTGATGGTAAAGACCTCCAGGACCCAGAACCACCTTAGGGAGAAGGGAGGGCCGGGGAGAGCCTTGAGGAGATTGTTTATTCTGACTTACCTGAGAAAACCCGATTGAAACGTAAGTCCCAGCTGCAGGGTGGGGTTTAGAAAGGCCTGTTACAAATGGCTGGATTTCGTCGTTTCTTATGGCTGAGTAGTATTCCATTGTGTATATATACCACAGCTTCTTTATCCATTCGTCCCTTGATGGGCACTTAGGTTGCTTCCAAGTCTTGGCTATTGTGAATAAGGCTGCAATGAACACAGGGGTGCATGTACCTTTGCAAATTGGTGTTTTCAAGTTCTTTGGATAAATACCCAACAGTGGAATAGCTGGATCATATGGTAGTTCTATCGTTGATTTTTTGTGACAACATGGATGGACATTGAGGGTATAATGCAAAGTGAAATAAGTCAGAGGGAGAAGGCCAAATACCGTATGATTTCCTTCATTAAGTAGTAGATAATAACAACAATAAACAAACACATAGGGACAGAGATTGGATTGGTGGTTACCAGAGGGGAAGGGGGGAGGGTGGAGGGTGAAAGGGATAATTCGGTACATGTGTGTGGTGATGGGTTGTAATTAGTATTTTGGTGGTGAACATGATGTAGTCCGTGCAGAAATAGAAGTACAATGATGTACACCTGAAATTTTGCAATGTTATAAACCAATGTTACTGCAATAAAAAAAAAAAAAAAGAAAGATTTGTGCGTAGAAGCCAGCAGAGCATACCGGAGTACTGGGAATATGGCAATCATGTAACAAGGATTAGATTATGAGAACAGATTTGATGCTTTACAGGGTAATAATTATTTTTTTTTACTGACTACAACATAGATAAAATGATTCTATGTGTTTAAAAAAAAAAAAAAAAAAAAAAAGAAAGGCCTGTTAGCAGGACAGACAAAATCTGGCCAAAAAAGGGCCCAGCTCGACAGGTGCCACTTTGTTACCCCGGTTCAGTTTCCCTTGGGTTTGGACTTGCTTGGACTAAGTCACTTCCGCTGATCTGGGATGGTCATTTGCTTCCCTTAAATCAGGGTTTCTCAACATCAGCACTATTGTCATTTTGGGCCAGATAATTCTTTGCTGTGGGAGGCTGTCCCCCCACAATGTCCCCGCATTACAGAATGTTTAGCAGCACCTTTGGCCTCTACCCATTAGATGCCTCTACCCACTCTCTGCCCCCACCCCCAGTTGTGACAATCAAAAATGTCTGCAGACATTGTCAAATGTCCCCCTGGGAGGCAAAATTACTCTGGGTTGGGAACCACTGCCTTAGATGATGAATGAATCTATGAAAACAATAAAAGTGGAGTAAGTTGTGTTCATACAGGTGCAGTAAGAAGGTCTTGGATACAGGAGAGTGGGCTTCCTAACACAACTCCAGAATTAGGCAGACTTTATGCAGCCATAGGCAGCGCCAGAAAACTGCAGGCCTCCCCCCACAGTGGGGCTGGGGCCGTCCATGTCACACTCCAGGTGAGGAGCAGCAGAGCAGAACACACACCCTCTGCAGGCGAGCCAGCTCCCAAGGGAAAGGGAAGAAAAGAGGGCTGGATGACGCATGCCTGTTTTCTCTTTCCAATTCATCCATCAAATACACGAAGGTGTGGAGCGAGACCAAGGGTGTTACACCAGTGGGGCTCTCTCCTCATGGAAGGACGCATCAGGAGGGGGTAAGATGTGTCCCCAACAAAGATGGGTGAGCCACAAGCTGGAAAGAGCCTGGATCCCCGAGTCACCCCTTGGCAGAAAGCTGCCCCGACAGCTGCCAAGCCTGCAGCAGCCTCCGGTGAACAAGCAGACTTTTGCGTGTTTACGGCTGAGACTCTGTGGTTAGTTTGCTGCTGCGGCGAAGCCTAACCCGCCACAAAGTTTCTGTTTTCTCGTACACGGTCCATCCTCTGTTCTACCGACAGCTCCCCCATCCCCAGCAAGTTGCAAACTCAATTTTTCAACTTCCTCCGCTGGAACAAATTTGAAAACTCCTTTCAAGATTTTTATGTTGACTGCTTTAAGGATTTTTTACTTTTAGGAATGACAGTGAAATGATGGGGGAGGGCAGCCGTGGAAGATGACGTAATTAGGACCATCCTCCCTCAGAAGCTGGATGAAATAGCATATATTTTAAAATCTTCTCAAAAACATTGAAAGCTGAATGCAATGTGGTAACTTGGATCAGATCCCAGAACAGAGAAAAGATATTAGTGGAAAAACTAGTGAAATACTAATAAAGTCTGGAGTTTAGTTAATAGTAATGTACCCATGTTAATTTCTCAGTCATGACAAATGTGCCAAGGTCATGTAAGATGCTAACGCAGGGGGAAACAGATAGAGGGAAGGATATTCAGGAACTTTCTGCACTACCTCTGCAACTCTTCTGTAAATCTAAAATTATTTCAAATATAAAGTTTATTTAAAAAAAAAAAAAAAGCAGTGAAGAGCTAACAAGAGCATGCGGGATTACCAGGTCGAGGTCTGCAGGCAGAAACCCAGAAAGTGAGCATGCGAGGGGCCTTTGTCCTGGGGAGCACTTACTGATTCAGAAGCAGCAGCTCAGGGCATGAGCCTGGAGTGGGGGCCTCAGGGGGTAGATGTGGTATATGTTTCTTA